GATCTCATTGAAAAGCGTTTCTGGGAATAGGGTGCAGAATTGGTGGGACTTGCGGGCTAACCAGTATGAGAAGAGGATGAAGAATAGGAAGGAGAAGAGACAAATGAACCTCAAGGGGAAAGAGCTTATCGCATCAGAATGTTGTTGGACACTAGGAAACCCTTAGTCCTCGACAACTCAAACATTGAAGAAGATGGCGCAGAAATTTGATTCTTATTTCAATTTGAAAGACTCACAATATTCTACAATCGGTGTGGTTTCATTGGCCATAAGGAGATGAACTGCGAAAGGATCTCAGAGGTAGATTTTTTTAACCAACTAACTGAAAGAATGGCCATGCAAAGTATGGATCCCAGAAGGGGAAAAGGTTTCTTCAGGGAATGGTTGAGAGTCAACCTAGAAGATGATGCCTTCAAAGTCATAAATAAAAGGCAATCGAAGACAAGGCGGAGGCGAATAGACGAACTAGAAGAAAACCAAATAACAAGGGATGGAAGCCATCTGATCAAAAATAGGAGTAAGAGAGGAGATTTCACCAGAAAGAATGACAAAGAGACAAACTCTACCGTTGAAAAGCATCTCAGTTAGGCGACAACTATTTAATGAAGAGACTGTGCGGGAAGCAAATCCCAACATACCTTGGTTATAAACGAGCTCTGTTCATGTGACAATATCGCTGGCAAGGGGAGATCACCGAAAAACAGAGGGAAGAAACTCACATGACCGGAAAAGGCTTACTTGTTAGGGACTTTGAAAGTACGATTGTCACTGATGGAAGAGGTATGAACGAAGGTGGCAGAGGTCTATTCATAGATCAAATAGAAAAGGAAATCTAGGATGAGGTGGAAAACTCACAAAAAAAGCCAGTGAGCAAGGTCCGGATCCATGAGAGATACAGTTAAACAAAATAAGGGCAAAAACATCATTTTCAATGAGAATATGGCTGACATGGCAATTGAACTTATTTTGAAAAAAAAAAATGAAAATCGTCTAGAATTGTCATTCAAGAAATTCCAAATGAAGGAACAGGGAATGAAAAGGTAATTTCTCAACAAGGTAAATGGGCAAGAACTGAACCAAACCCAGATCCATCCCTAATTTCCTTGATGCAACTAACTGAACACCAGATGCTAAGCCCACTCCCAGCTTTCTCGATGGGATAGAGGATAATTAGTTTGGAAAGTGTTCTAAACAAGGTCTCAATGACGAGGGTGACAAAGGATAAACAACAAGAAGGCGTTGACTTTGATCTCGGTCAAGAGGCAATGGATACAGAGGAAAATGGCTCGGACTCGTTGTCTCAGGTAAATAGAGAAGACCAGACATTTTCAAATTACGAGGATGAGGTATGTCACCTTTCAATTTCTCATTTAGTTGGGTTTAATTTAATTTATTTTTTAAAACCTCAGGAAGAAATGTTTTCCATGAATAATGAAGGAATGTTGTCAAAACCAAATGACAAAAATATAAGTGGGGAAAGCCTTTTGGAAAATGGACAAAATAATTTTACCAAGCTAAAATTAAAATTGAAATCCACCACTCCAAAATTCAAAAGATATGGTCAAAATAAGGTCTAATTTAAAAGTAAACCCAAAGGAAATTTGGTTCTGAATAAGCAAAAATTGAGGACACCAAAAAATCTGAAAGAGGTGTGTAAAACAAAAATGAGGAAAATAGTCTGTCAATTTTAGTACATGGCTAAAGATCGACAGATGGATACGTGTTTAGAATTTTTTTTAAGGATCTAACTCAGGAAAGAGGAACATATCTAATCAATTTTTTTTCAGAGGGGAGTTAACTTATACATAAAGAGTGCTCAAGTCTGAATGAGCCTTCTACCTCGGGATTTAGGAAGTTTCTTCCACCAAGCCAAATTTTTGCTGAAAATAAAATCAATAAGTGGGGGACCTGTCCCGAAACATGCCTTGCGTCACAAATGAAAATTCTAAGTTGGAACTGCTGGGGAATAGGGTCCTCCTTGACAGTTCAAACTTTGAAAGAGACCATGAAAGCCACTAAGCCAAACATTATCTTTTTAATGGTAACAAAACATTCTCTTCTAAATTGTAAGAAATTGCTCCCTTTTCTGAAAACTTGGAATTGTTGGGGATGTGATGCGGAGGGTCGGGGAGGTGGTTTAACTCTTTTTTGGAAAGACAACATAGTTAAAAAGGTGTTGTATGCAAATCAGAACATAATTCACACAAAAATTTAGGAGCTGGATGATAAAGTTTGGTTCTGTTCTTTCATTTATGGGGGAACCAAAGAGACAAAAAGAAAGATTTTCATTAAAAAATGGAAGCACATAGCCAGCCTAGCAAGAGGACCATGGCTTTGTTGTAGTGGTTTCAACATGATTTTTAATAATCAAGAAAAACAAGGTGGAAAACTTGTAGTTATGCATACCTAAAAAAGAATAGAGATTGCCAAAATTACTGTGGTCTGCTAGATCTAAAAAGCCATGGTGTTAACTACACATAGACAAACAGAAGAGAGGGTGAGGAAAACATTCAAGCAAAACTTGACAGAGCTATATGTAATCAAGATTGGAAGAATCTCTTTGAAGAAGCCAATGTCAAAGTGCTAATCACTCTAGGTTCAGATCATCTTCCTATTTTAATCAACAATGAAAAAGTCACCAAATGGAGGAAAAGACCTTTCAACATGGAAGAAATGTGGTTATCCCATGATGATTTTGAAAATACTAATAAAAAATGTTGGGAAGGAAATCAGATAGATTTAGAAGAAAACAATTTGCAGTAGAAGTTAAGGAAATTGCAGTGTCATCTCCAAGTATGGAACAAAGAAGTTTTTTGGAATGTCAACAAAAATATTAGAAAGCTTAAAAAGGAGTTGGAAATAGAAAGGGATAAGGAAAAAGTCAGGATAAAAAAAAGATTAGAAACCTAGAGAAGGAACTAGGGATTTGGTTGAGAAGGGAAGAGCAAATGTGGGCCCAAAAATCCAGAATAAATTGGCTCAAATTTGGCGACCAAAATACCAAGTTTTTTCATGCGATGACAGTTTAAAGGAGGAACAAAAATAGAATCCTCAAGTTGGAAAAGGAGCAAGGTATCTGGGTTGATGAAGATGAGTAAATAGAGGAAACCATTTATGAACACTTTTGAAACATTTTCAAATCTTCCAACCCCCACATGGAGGATGATTTGATTAACTGCTTAAATTCAAGAATCTCAATGGAAGAAAAAAGCTGATTATAAAGAGATTTGGAAGAAGAAAAAGTCGAGGTATCTCTAGGACAAACAACTCCTTTAAAAGCTCCAAGCCCGGATGGATTTCAAAATGTTTTTTTTTTTTCCAAAAGTGCTGGGATGTGGTGGGAAGAGATGTTATGGAAACAATTAAAGTTTTCTTTACCCAAAACAAATTGGGAAAGGGTTTAAACTAGACCTATATAACTCTTATTCCCAAGGTTAAAAACCCAATCAATGCTAGCCAATTCAGACCAATCGGTCTCTGTAACACCATCTACAAAATCATAGCCAAAATTTTGGTTAATAGGGTAAAACCTCTCATTCACAAAATTGTAAGTGATGTCAAAGTGCCTTCACCCTTGGAAGGTAGATTCAAGACAACATCCTAATTTCTCATGAAATTTTACATTTCATGAACAAATCGAAGAGTAAAAAATCGTGGATGGCCCTTAAACTGGATATGAGTAAGGTATATGACAGAGTAGAGTGGAGTTTTCTAAAGACTAATGGAGAAATTAGGCTTCGGAAATAAGTGGATTGGCTGGATAATGGAATGCATAACAACTATTTCCTACCAAATCTTAATAAATGGAGCTCTAGGGAGTAGCATCAAGCCTGAAAGAGGAATCAGACAAGGAGACCCCCTATCCCCCTATTTATTCCTCTTTTGTTCAAAATCCCTCTCAACTTACCTTCAAGATCTTGTGAGGAAAAAAATCTCTCTCACATTAAGATAGGTAGAGATTGCCCTACGATTTCTCACATATTTTTTGTAGATGACAATTGCATCTTCACAAGAGCTAATTCCATTGAAGGTCAAACTCTATTGGAAGCAATCAGTCTCTATGAAAGAGACTCCGGTCAACAGGTAAACTTATCCAAATCAGAGGTATTTTTCAGTAAAAACCTGCATCCCAAATTACAAAAAATGTTAGCTAGAAGCTTTGGCATCAAGAAAGTATCTCAACCCTTAATCTATTTAGGCCTTTCTACAGTGATGGGTAAATCCAAGAAAGATCTTTTCAATTACCTCCTAGAAAGAATTCAATCCAAAACCTCCAGATGGCATGAAGTATTTCTTTCTAATGGAGGAAATGAAGTGTTTCTGAAATCTGTGGTGGCTGCCATGGCTACATATCCCATGTCATGCTTCCTATTACCAGAACTATTTGTGAGGAAATGACAAAAGCTAAAAGGAAGTTCCGGTGGGGTACAAAAGATAAGGGCATGAAGATTCACTAGGTAAATTTAAATTGGAATTCAATTAGTAGAAACAAAAATGATGGGGATTTAGGCTTTAGAGACCCACACTACTTTAATTTGGCTCTTCTAGCTAAACAAGCATTGAGGCTTTTGTCTAATGAAAATAATCTGTGGGTAGGGGTGAACATTATTCGGTTAAAACCGAATTACCGAACCGAAAATTTCGGTTAACCGAAAAAACCAAATTAACTAAAATTTATTATATAATATATAATATATAATATACAATATATAATATGTTATATATTTATATATTAATATATTATATATAATGTATTATAATGAAATTAAATTTCATAATATATATTATAATAATATACATTATAGGTTATAATATATAATATTATGTATATATTAATTAAATTTGGTTTTAACCGAAAATTGAATAAAAAATTTTGGTTTAGTTATTTTGGTTTTATTATAATTCGGTTTTCAGTTCGGTTTTTATTTTTTAATTTCGATTTATTCGGTTTGGTTTTTTACCAAATAAACCGAATGCTCACCCCTATCCGTGGGTTAAAATAATAAAAGGAAAGTATTTGAAAGGGAAGAATTTCCTAAATGACAATTTGCAAAAAAAAAGGCTTGTCGGGTGGCAAAGTTTGCTAGGAGGGGAAATTTTAAAATTGGGAGCTTGTTGGGAAGTCAACTTGGGAGCAAAAGTCAAAATTTGGGAAGATCCATGGGTAAAAGACCTACCAAACTTCAAAATGTTAGGGCTTGAACCCAGACCAAATGGTCCAAGAAGGGCTAGTGATTTGATTGACCAAGACAGGAGATGCTGGAATCTAAGTAGTCTGAGGAGCCATTTCTCAGAACAAATAATCAATCAAATCCTTAAGATAAATCTAGCTAGTGGGAACTGGGAGGATAGGTTCATTTGGATTGGGTCATCAAATGGGAATTTCAATGTTAAATCTACTTATTTCTTAGCAAAGAAGTCTAAATTTCAGGAATTTCTTGAACCCCAATCAAGCAGATCAGAGAAATAATAATAATAAAAAAAAAAATCTGTGTTAAAGTTTGACCCAAAAGTGAAACACTTTTTATGGAGATGTGCGTGGAATGCCTTGGCTGTGAAAGAAAATCTGTTCAAGAAAGACCTGACTGACTGTCCAATTTGTCCACTATGTGGCATTAAAGAAGAATCAATCCTTCATGCTTTATTTCAATGTGACCATGCTAAGTTGACTTGGTTCGGATCCATCTTCAGTCACAAAATAGATCAGAATTTTTCTTTCTCAGCTTTCCCTGATTGGCTAAATAATTGGGTTGACAGATGCTCCCTAGATAAATCAAGAAAAGAAGAACTTCTAAATTTCACTACTCAGATTCTATGGTCAATTTGGAAGAGTAGAAACAAATTCATCTTTGAAAATATTCATCCTGACCCAAATATTACTTTGAATTTGACCCACAGATCCTGGAAGGAGAGGATAAAGATTTTGTAGCCAAGATGGCGAGATTCTTCGTAAATCCATGACTCCAGGTAGAACTTTTTTTGGCAGGCCCCAAACGAAAATTTTGTGAATATTAACGTTGATGGCAGCTTTGAAGGAATAGGGAAAGCAGCTTTTGGAATAGTTACTAGAGACCATCTTGGAGACATTTTGGCACAGTTTTGGTCAATGTCAAAGCAACTCCCCGCTATAAGCTGAAGCAATGGCAACCTTAAAAGGTGTACAACTAGCCAAGTTTTGGTGAAGATTTTGCAGCCAAGATGGCAAAATTCTTCGTAAATCCATGACTCAAACAAGCAAAACTTTTTTTGGCAGGCCTCAAACGAAAATTTTGTGAAGATTAATGTTGATGGCAGCTTTGAAGGAATAGAGAAAGCAACTTTTGGAATAGTTATTAGAGACCATCTTGGAGACATTTTGGCAGTCAGTTTTGGTCCATGTCAAAGCAGCTCCCCGCTACAAGCTGAAGCAATGGCAACCTTAAAAGGTGTACAACTAGCCAAGTTTTGTGGTGACAAACGACTACTAAGGCCTCATGCTTGCGCTAAGCTCAAAGAACATGGAATCGACAAAAGAAACTTATTTCTTTTGCAAAGACATTTTAGCAAGTTGTGAAGATTCTAATTTCTCTATTGTGTATGTAAACAGAACTGTCAATATTCTGGCTCACAAATTAGCCCATAAAGGAATTACAGAGTGTGGTCTTCACACAGAAGCAATTCTGATATGGGTGGCAAATGGATCAACGAGATCCCTAAGTTGTAATGATCCTCCTTTTTCTAACGCAATCTAAGTTTCTTATTACCAAAAAAACTGTAATAATCGTTGGTTCGGATCAACTCTGGTTACTTGGCATAACCATAACCCAACGGTCCCAATCCGACCTAATCCAGTGTAACTTTCTTTTTGGTTTGGGTTCGGTCTAACCTGGCCAAAGTTGCATCCCATTAATGTTAAACCCCCCTTATAGTAGGTGCTGTGTGCAAAGCCCGGTCTGATCATGTTCAATGTTGAGGCTGAACACAGAGGTAGTGATATAGTCTACAACATGCACACATACTCCAAGAGCAACAGCATGCTTCTTCTTATAGTCTGCATTGTCATGACCATTGTTGTGTTGTTCAATGATTTGCACTTGAGGTTCGTCCGGTGTATAATTATCTGCCCACATGAAGTCGTATTCATGCGACTGAAATATAATAATAACAAAAACCGATTACACATTACTCATTTTTCATATTAGGTAGTATGATTCACAAATATTGACTTCTTGGTTTCATGCATCACCACTGAGGCACTTATAAAACCATCTTCCATAATTTTTTTTCGGTTTTTGCCATGAATAACCTCATGCGTCCTCGTCCGCATGCACACATAGGTCCCTTATGAATAGTGGCCATAACTACCATTCAACAAATACAATTAACTCATAACATCCGAACATTAGGAAATGCAAACAAGTAATTACCAACAATACACATATAAGTTCAAACTATAGCAAACAATGTGAAATAAACATACAAGTTCAAAGTGAAAATAAATAGTCCAAGTATCAAATCACAACCCATATAAGCTAAGTAGATTGTCTCCTATGTCTTGATCGATTACGATTAATACGTAACGTTGTAGTGATCAGCCATCTTGAATATAATTTCATCTCTAACTTGTTCCATCCGTCTAGTGGCCTGTGACCCAATGTCAATAGGAGTAGGTGCTACATTATGAAACATCCCTCCCTCTCCTTCAACGAGAACATCCTCTTATAGGAATCCATTCTAATACGGATCCTCTATCTGTGACATCCATATGAAATTGTGTAACACACAAAAAACGAACACAATCCTAATTTGCTTGTGAAGTGGGTAGGGAGGCATCAACTTCAAAATCGGGAAACATGCCTTCAGAACTCCAAAACACCGCTCTATGACATTCCTAAGTGAAGAATGCACATAATTAAAGTACTCTTCACCATTCCTAGGACGACCACCTCTCCCTTGAAAGTCTCTCAAGTGGTATCTCTCAGATTTGTATGGATATAGAAATCCCGACATATTTGTGTAACCCGAATCAACAACATAGTACTTTCCTATACAAAAAAATGCAACCATATTTATCAATGTATTGGTGACTTTCATACAATCATATAATTATTTATGGTTGTTTTGCTGACCTTCTGGTGGTAGAGGAAACATGTTATCTGGGTTTTGGATTGTTTCCAAAAATACCCTTGAATCATGAGCAGCACCCTCCCATCTTGTTACAACAAAAGCGAATAGCATGTCAAATGAACATGCGCACATCACATTATGGGTGGTGATTGACTTACATCCCCTAAATGAAACTTGTTCACTAGCTGGAACACATGCATGGACATGTGTACCATCTATAACACCAACACAGTTTTGCAAAAAAGAGAGGGAGAAATGCAACAGTTTTGTATGTAATGGTTCAAAAAGAAGAAAAACATCTGACAAATATAATGATTTTACCTCAAACCATGAAAAATACTTTGGATTATTTTGAATCTAGGGTGGCACAACCGTCATATCACCGAGTCGCACAATTTATTTCCCAAACTCACAAATGGCCTTCAAAGCAGTGTTAAAGTGTCGTGAAATTGTTTCACTAGAATGCTGAAAATGGTTTGCAGCATCCTAGTTTGATTTGTTATGCCCCATTACTTGCAATAAAATCCCAATTTGCTCATCAACTGATACATACTGACTGTCTTTCACTAACTCTCTCTGTCTCATCGAGGCTATTAATCTAAGAAACACTATTGGTGTGAGTCTGAACATATCTAAGCATCTACTACCACCACTGTAGATGACATTCTTTAAATATTCTGACCCGGTCAGTATGTCATCATGGTAAGGTGTCTTAGAGATCGACATCCCTTCTTTCTCCATTTCTCTCACAATGATGATATTTGTCAACATTCGTTGCTCTTCATCCTCAACTACAGCAAGTGCAATTGCTGAAAGCATTGCAATCCTAGTAGGGTTGTCAACCATTTTAATCTGGCATATGAATAATGAATGAGTATAGGATGCATATCAAAGTTGAATCACGATGTCAAATGGCAAATGCTTATGGTGGTGACCCATAAGCATACATTGACACCTACACCATGACAATCATCCACTTGCTATTCATTAATCACCCACCTGCCTCAAGCCCAACTCATACATACATCATACAAATAAGAGCAGATAAAATTGCATTCATCATACATATATCCCCAAATCCATCCATTCACCATGTACCTATATACTATTAACAACAAATGGGAGTAACTAAAACCTGCATTCACTAGCATCTACATCCATCCAACATGTAATTATAACCATAAAAAAGTAGGAAAAAATATATAAATCTATCTTCACAAATCACAATAGGTATCTATCAAACCATTCATTCACCATAAAAAGAAATAAAAAGCAACCCATCAAGTCATATGTGTTTCAAGGTTAATAATCTCACAAAGAAAAAAAAAGAGTCCAAAAAGGCAAAATACTAGACAATTTTTTAATCAAAGTTAGACAACCACCATGTTCAACGATCTATGCGACCCATTAGCCAACTCCTAATGGTTGGGGGCAGGTTCAAATAAAACTCTCTTGCTACTAAGTAATGGAAAACCTCGTATATCCTGTCATAGTCAGAAAGGTCAAAGTCCTTCAATGGTGTTCACCTCCACCAGCACAGAAGACATGGATGTTGGACTATCTGTCCTCGTTCACAATCCATTTATTGCCTTAACTAGCCTATCAAACCTCTTTTCAGCTAATGTAGACTGATCAACCACTGCATCACAAAATTCGGCTGATTTCTTCCTACGTGGAGTTTTGGTGCTTGTGGCTGAGACCTGGTCAGTATCACCATTCATTGGTTCATTAACTCCTACTGATGGATGTTGGGTCTCATCAATAGGTGGGTCAGTTGAGATGTTTCCCTCATATCGGGGTGGGGACTCTATGCCTCATGCCAATGATGCTGAAAACCTTCTAGTGGGTGTTGTTCCCCCAAATATGACCTCTAGGTTGTTATACTCCGAGCAACCCACAGTACGAAACATTTTGGCTTTAGGATTAGCCTATAAAAAAAAAAGACATTGGGACACCAATCAATTTGTATGCAATGTATTGAATTTAAATAAACAATCGTATATGTTATAGCAAATACCGTCAAATAGTTGTCCCATGTCTCTAGTGAGGCTACAACAATTTGCTTCTATTCATCTCGGTTTGCCCATATCTTAGCTTTGTAAACTCCTTATATCTACTCTTTAAGTCTTGTATCTTGTTACTAAACGATTTCGTATTGAACTTCAGGCCAAATTTTGTGAAAAAACTCCCCCACTTTGGACTTGTTGTACAAGTAAATCTATGAAAAAAGTTGTGTAGGTGTCCAGTTTGCATTTGTGACGGGGGTATTCTCAAAAGATGTGTTAGATACACTAGTTGGCATCTAATCATCATGAAACTTTGAGTTACTGACACAATATTGTTGAAAATTTATAGAATAATCATATTTTTTTTCCAATCAACTAAAAAAATAGAAAAAGGTTTGATGGTTGTATGAGTCGCTTGAAGTAGTTATTCCCTTTGAATGTTGTAAGTGGATAGAATCCTACAATCAATAACAAGGGTATGATAGCTTTAGCAAATTGCCGGTACAACCCACATCAACCAATGCACCGAATAACAAAGCAAAGAAGCTTGTGTGAATGTTTTCTTCCAAGTAATAACAAAGCAGTGAACTCTGCACCATCTTAAGAGCATCTTTGGTTCTTTTGATATGCCTCACATTGATTCCCATCACTTGTGCTCTCTTAAAAACTATTTGTTTATACAACCATAGTGTACCAAAAATCCATTTTGTTAGATGTAAAGCATCTAAAAACACAAAGAATATCATATTCAAATATAAGTTTTTTTCTAAATTTAATGAGGGAAAGCTCAGTAACAAAACCTATAGCACTAGCAATCAAAAGGAATGAAAAACAACCATTGATGATCCAGGTTAGCATAAAATGGGGCTAACCCAAATTGAACATATCATAATTAACCTCCTTTGTTCTTATAAAGGTTTGTAATGCTATTGATCTTGAAGGTCCATCATTACCAAGAGAAAGTTCCCTCAGATCATGAAATCTGTCAAAGTATGAATTTTCCATGCTACCATCTAGCATTAACAATAGTTTCTAAAAAGTTATAACAAGAGGGTAGGATGTAGGTGGAATATCATTGAAAGAATCAAGGATATCATTGAACTCAGCTGTGCCATCAATATCAAGCATATTAGCTAAACCATAAGGGTAGTTTAAGAAACTTACATTTTTTTTAAATAAGTTCTTCCAACTCATCCAATTCATTTTCCTTTTGTTTTCCTCCTCCCCAAAGAAGTTTCCTCTAAATTCTAACCAATTGATCTCAAAGCCATTTAAGAAATAAAAAGCATGACATTGCATATGTGGAAATGGCAGTGAACACTGCCTTAATCATAACTTCCTTTCTTCCAGTAGAAAAAATAGCCTCCTTCCAACCTATTTCAACTCTCATAGAGGTATTTTCTTGGCCCTTAGATCACTTGAATAATACACCCACATACCCAACAGCCTCGATCTTCCTAGCCACGAATACTCTAGTTACATAGTAGTTAGATGGATAGACAATTTCTATGTAATTGTTTTCTTGTTGGACTATGAACTAGATCAATGATTTTTGCTCATATGTATGGGTTTGATGATTATCTGAATCTTCCAATTAAGGGTGATTTCTTTTAATTGCCTTGTATGTTGAATTATATGTATATTGTATAAAAACAAAAGTATTCATCATCTGTGCTGGGGCAGCGAGATTTTTGGTACTGAAGTATACTGTAAACTGTACATACCTAATTGCATAATATTCAGAAGGAAATTATGTGTGGAGCCGATTTTTCTGTAGTTACAGGGAAAGCTTCTATAGTTCTACTAGCTATCTGCTACTACCCCATATTATTAATTATTTGTTGTGCCTTGTTATCAGAAATTTGATAAACGCAAGGTGAGCACAATCAATTGATCTGAAATTTTGGTAAACAGAAGAGAGCTCTATGTTTCATCAATTCAAACAATTGAGATACCAATTGCAGCCTTAGAGAAAGATTGTTGTTATCCCATCCAATCCATCTACACAAAATTGCATTCATCCAGATTAGGGGATCAAATCACCAATGTAAAGATTTAAATTGAATTAGGTTGTTAACTATATTCATGACTAAAGAAAATTATTTACAGATCTCTTGATAAAAATAAAAGATTATAGGCCTTTACACCCATAACTTGGGGTTTTCACCACTTTTATTTGAAAAGTTTCTTTTGATTAAATTTGTTCTAAGCCTATCTCCAATCATCAATTGTATAAGCTTGTTTGACACTCAACTTCAGTACCATGAATAATTGCCTTGTTCATTTTACACCAATAATATACAATTACTGAAAATTAAATGGATTTCTGAAATATTAGTTGGATTTTTCCCTATATATTGATTGTACCAAGCCTATCTCCAAGCTACAATAGCACAAGTTATTTGACATTCAATTTCAATTTTCAACCTCCACCTTATTGCAGTGCCATAAATATTTGTTATATAGCAAAGGTAATATTATGGATAATTTTCAGTATAAATTTAAAGTTTAACTAATTAAAATTATCACCCCAGAAGTAGCAAACAAAAACAAGAACCTATTTTTAGACAATCATGCAGAAAGGTGTGGAACCTTTGTAACTATCAAGCAGAAAGGTGTGGAACCTTTGTACTATCTTTTCTTTAACTGTGGACATGGGTTACACAGATTGAAATGAGAGCATAGTGCAAACCATGCCATTGTCCAATAGCCTGTACAAACATACAACCCATAGCACCATACAAAAGATAGGCTAAAAACAGCACTTTGTTTAAGTAATGATCCTCAAATGCTAATGTTTGATTTTCTTGTGGCAGCTCCTCCATCAGTCAGTGATGTTAAGATTATTGGAGATGCTATTGAAGGAAGTAGAATCAAAGGTATTGGGAAATACTTTGGAGGAAGGGAAGGTCCTAGCAAGTTTGAGTGGTTACGTGAAAATAAAGATTTTGGGTATGCTGCGTTTCCATTTTTGAACATTTAACTATTTAGAAGTTTGAGATTACATCATTTTACTTTTACTTGGTGGTTCATTTCGTCCTAAGTTTTCATTCAACTTTTTTGTTTATATATTTCCTTTTTGTGAAATTTATAGGAGACATTCGTGAAACATCAAATTTCTCGCATAATTTCTTTTTGTAGTATTTCTAAAATTGTTTAAGAAAAATACAAAAGAAAAAAAAAAGAATGAGGAAATCAGGTACACAACCGCAGAGGTTTCTTTGAGGGAAACAATAGAAAGATAGGTAAGGGAAAAAATAGTGGAAATCAGGTCTGCCCACAATTCTTATTACATGGGTATCTATAGCATTACAAGAGAATCATGTGTTCTTAAACCTAATAAGACATGCGCAAACCTAACATTACAAGTTTAAAAACCTAACAATTTTTAACTACATTAAAAAAAAAAGGGAGTAAACATATAGAAGTTTAAAGACAATCGCTGTTCCAAAAATACCCTAACAATAAATATTGGGATGGGGGTTGTACCTGTGCAAACCATCACCGAATAACAAGCTACCACTGCCGCAAGATTCATGAGCACCAAATGATTTGTAATCTCCTACAAAAGAGGGGAAAAATTAGTGGAACCACGGAAGAGAGACGAAGAAGAGGATGGTGACGGCGGAAGAAGAAGAATCAAAAGAGGAAGAAGAAGAAGAAGGAAAAGAAGAAGAAGAAGAAGGGAAGAGGAGGATGAAGGGAATGGAGGAATCGAACCTGTGGGAAGTATGAGCGAAGCAGTCTCGAGTGTGCGAATGAGAGGGGTTTGGGGGTTTAGCATCGGGGGTTACTGTTCATTTGTGTATCCGTAAGAGAAATCGCACCCGTATGGGGAAGCTCCGAAAGGGCATAAAAGCCCAGAAGCTACGATCCTAGCTTCCCAAAATCGGCCCAAATTGGGCTTCTCCGGGCTTTTCGGCGCAATGAGTTTTGGCGGCGAGATCTGATGCGAATCAAACGGAAATAAACCGATTTTCGGTCTTATGGGCTTCTAAACAAACAGAAGACGACGCGAAAAGACTTGCCAATACATATTTTATTTGTAATGTGGGCCGGGCCGTGCCGGCACGAGCCCTCACGGGCCACAAACCCTCGGCCCAGCCCGGCACGGGGTTCGTGTCGTGCCAGGCACGGCCCGCCGTTTTACACCTCTGAACACATGTATTTCCTCTCCGGCTCTCTCCTTGGAGAACAATCGTGGAGAAAAGAGAAAAGACATCTATAATCATGCGTGTGAGAGAGATTAGAGTCCAAATCTAAATTTTGCCTCAACAAGAGTTTTGACAACATGATTTCTTCTTTTTAGATCCCGTTTTCACCTGGTTTTGGTGCCATAGAGATGTATCAGTGGAGGAAATTCGAGTTCTTTGAAGAAAAATCTGCCGGGAAAAGCTCAATTCCCGACGAAGTCACCGGAAAAATTGAGTGCTGTTCCGGTGGGAGAGGGAAGATCGTGGTTGGTTGCGATGACGGCACGGTGAATTTGCTGGATCGCGGGTTTAAATTCATTTATGGCTTCCAAGCTCACGCATCTTCTGTTCTCTTCATGCAGCAGCTTAAGGTTGTATGGATTTCCTCGTCCCCCCTTTCCGTCGTTTTTTTTTGTTGTTTCTCGTTTTTTTCGCCTAAAAAAAACGACTATTTGTTCAAATAGTCGTTGAGCCCCCGCCCCTGAAACGGTTTAATCTATTCTAGATTTAATACATATTAGTTTCAAAGAATAGAATAAGAAAATCCTATTGTATTCCATGCTGATTGATTGAAGTAGATAATTAAATTACAGAGTTGAGTGGCCTTCCTTAAGCGGAGGCAATGACCTCTTGGTTTTGATTAGTTATTTATTTCTTCATCTTAAGTTGCTACCTTTACTGGTATTCATGGATCCGTTTGATTAGTCAACAAGTTGAAAACTCCTTGGTTCTATTATCTATGTGTGAAAGGTAATGCTTTCTCACTCAACTCAACTAAAGCTAAGGCTTAATCCCAACTATGTGTGCATAGTTGTCAAGGTGATGCTTAGGCAGGCGCCTAGAGAACAAGGTACCCATGGAGTGTTGCTTTGCTTAAGTGCCTAGCCTTTTTGTACAAGGCACTATATAATGTTTCTATGTTTTTTATTTTCTGATATTATAATAATAAAATAGACATACAATATATTATTTATTTACGGGTTTATATACTAGTTTCATTTTGTTGTTTCTTATTATGCTAAGGTCCAATCAGTGCACTCTTCTTATTCTTCTTCTTCTTCCACCTTTCTTTTCTTCTTTTCCTAGGAGAAAAACAGGGTCTCAGCCCCTATATTTTCTGATTTTCTATTCTTTCATGAATATGTTGATTTTCCATATTTTGATATAAAGTTTATACTTATTTGATGAAGATTATTGATAACTACCAGTGAAAGATGATTGCTGATCACTATAGAATCTAGGGAATTATCCTAGGATTTAGGCAAAGATTATAATATCGATACACACAATCAATATGGTCAATACTCTCTTATTTTATTTTTATTTTTTTGATTTAATAATAATTAGAGGGTTGGTGTCTATCTATGGAATGTCTTAAAAGTTCTAAAATACCTCTGTATCGGTATCCAAGCATATTTGGATACACTAAATCCATTTATCTTGGATTTTTATTTAAAAAAACAAATCGCCTAGGCCTAGGATTTTTGTTTCCCCTCTAAATCCATTTGTCTTGGTCCTATCCCACCCAAAATCCATTTGGTTTGGTTCTATCCCACCCAAAATTAGGGCCTTTTGTTGGGAGGTTTACCATTTGAAGATTGATACTTGTGAAACATTGCAAAAGAGGAGTCTAAATGGTGCATCTCACCACACACTTGTTCTCTTTGTGAAGCAAGTGGGGAATCTATATTGCATCTACTAATCTCCTACAACTATACTTTCAGTATATGGGGCTATCTCTTCTCTCTCTTTGAGAGTAGGTGGTTTCCCCCCTTACGACTAGACAAAGTCAGAAGTGAGATTGTGTTCCACAAGATTGCAGGGAGTGAGGCCCAACTCTATGAGGCCAGGTAGAACACACCCCATGTTGTTGCGGGATCGCAAACGCAATGAGATCGCAGACCACACCTACCTCGCGAGATCACACCTCCACAGCATTGTGGGGTTTCACCACAACCTCGCAAGATCACATTATCACAGCTTTGCAAGACCGCACCAGTAAGGCCAGGGGTGGAGCTAGAATTTTTTCTTGAGGGGGGCCAAAACCTAGAAAACATGGATAGGGGGGCCAAAATCTAGGAAACATGGGTAAGGGGGTCAAAATATAAGTGGAATTTAAATGGGTTTTATGGGGATTTTGAAGGCATAGAGGGGGGGGCATGGCTCCCCCCTGCCACCCCCTGGTTCCGCCCCTGAGTAAGGCCTCGCAGGGTAGCCTCTCCCATAGTTTGGGCCTTGTCCGTTGTGGCCAAGGGCTGGTAGTGAAGTTGACTACCAGCCCCTGGCCACAAGGAAACCGACCCACTAGTGAAGATCATGCTGAGCAACCACCAAATCTTGACAGCCAGATCGCGTGACCGATCCCACCAAGCTGCCAATTTCCATTTTTAGCTTTTGAGTGCTTGATCATTGTAACCACCTCTTTGTTGGTTCATTTCTATGTTTTTGTTTCAGGCGCCAAAATTGAGGCCAAAACCTTAGCATCTCCTACGTGAATAGAGACTAAGGTCACTCCCCTTGACAAGTTGCAAAACCAAGAGGTTAGTGCTACCCTTACTGCCTAGTCCCTGACTGTTGTAGTGTCTTTGTTGCAGTTGGCAGTTCTTGAGAAACTTACTCCATTTAAGGGCTACCGGATGCACCAGGTAGCTACTCTATGGTCTATTTTAGAGGAGAGGAATAACAAAACTTTTAATGAGGCTAAAAGATCCGAGGAGGCTGTCATTGAATCTATTCTCTTGAGGGTGGTAAATTGGGTGAAGACTTTAAAGATCTTTGAGCCTTTGTTTAAAGATGAAATTTTAAGGGGTTGGGGTATACATGGCAGAATCATCACACTTAAAAGGCCAAATATAATAAGGGAATTGTGCATCACCACCCATTGACCTTGTGAAACTTAATTTTGATGGCTGTAGCTTTGGCAATCCAGGACCCTTCGGTATTGGTGGAGTTGTTAGAGACAACTTAGGCTCCTTTATTGTTCTATTTTCAAGTCCAATTGGATTAAGAGACTCTACAAGAGCAGAGTTGCATAACTTGCATTATGTACTACAAAGTTTAAAGATTTGTAAGAGGTTAAATATGGTAAACATAATGGTTGAAGGAGACTCCAAAACTGTAATATGATGGCTGAAAAAAGGTCAGTGCACATGGGAACATCAACATCTTGAAACAAGCACAGCAGTTGGCTAGAGAAATGAGAGTGGTTTGGATATATTCACATAGAGCTGCAAACAAATGTTGCTAACTCATTCACAAGGCAAGGGGTTAAAAAAGACTATTTGGGGGTGGGGGGTGGGGAGCTTTAATAGTTTAATGTAACCAGAATCAGATTGTAAGAACAATGGGGTCGGGTAGCAGGTGCTAGCCTAACCTTGTTACTGTAACTTATGTACACATTCTTTTCTATATTTATAGATAAATTTCATGTTTACTGATAAAAAAACCCATTGACAAGGCATCCCACTGTTGCCTAGCCTTGCCTTTACACCTTGAAAACTATGTATGTGTGGTGGGCTAGTGGAATTCTGTCATTCCTTCTCACTATTATTAAGAGCCATGCCTTTTGTCAAATGATACAGAAGTAGCTGGTTCCTTATTCTTCTTTTTTTAATGGTTCCTTCTCTTAGCTTCATGACTTTTAATCATTTTCTGAAAGCATCCTCAAGTTCTGGAATGCTTTAAACATGCTGAACCCTTTTGACACTGCCTTCTGCATAAGCGACACATGAAGATGTCATGCCCAGGTGTTATTGAAATACTTGTGGAATCTACAGAAGCACCAGTGGAGTGAAAACCAATCCAACCTTTTTCTCATGCATCTTGCCTACCTTCTTGCCATGGATTTCTTGTTTTTTTTTTTTTTAATTTATAACTATTCTTTCTAGGATGGTGGTTTATGCTTACACCTCCTGAATGGATGACAATTTTTTGATATAATCCAGAAGGGAAGGTAATCTCTGTAATTAAATTCTGAAATAATGAAGTTTTTTTTTAATATTGTTGACTGTTCTGCTTTTTTCAGATACGCCAGGATTTCTTTATCTTTTCAAAGGGCTTCTTTTGAAAATTATATGAACTCCCTTTAAACTAGCTAAATGCTAATGATGCTAAATTGTGGTAACCCTTGTAGAGTTATTTTATGTTAGACTTGGCGTCTTGACCATTAATGCATTGCAACAAGTTTCTTCAGATTTTCTTGACCCTGGTAACAATGTAGCATTGGTTTTGAAAAGTCTAAGTGGAAGATGCATCTTGAACAATTAAATAAAAAAGAATGGGAAATAAGGACAAATTGAAAAAGAGAAAACATGACAAAGTGGTACAAATCTCAATGAGCAGGCCAACTTTATAGTGCTTGTATTTTCATACAACAGCCATAAAATATCTTGCATATTTCAACTATGAGAACTAATGGAATTTGTTGCTGCTCCAAATTGAAATACATTTAACTTGATACAGTATTTTATATTAGAATCCTAGTTCTTAAATGAGAAGCTTTCTTTGGACCTCAATCAGAGCCTATATAATCTTGTATTCTTCTCCATGGCATGCCAGTCATCTAAGGATAACTCTTCTTCCCTGTTGGCCTAGCTAATTTTTATCATGCACCAAAAGCATGGCATTTTAGCTAAATTTTCTCATACACCAAAAGCATGACATTTGTGGTAAATGGGCTGTACACTTACATGTTATGTGACCATTGACTTACTAGAGAATTGCATCAAGTATTTGAAATTACAGGTCAAATACTGATAACAAATGAATGTGCATGAGAAGGGGGAGGGAAGGTTTTGTGTGCAAGTTAGATTTAGAGAAGGCTTATGATATGGTGGATTGGGTCTTTCTTTTGGAAGTCATGAAGTGTAACAGGTTTGGGGAAAGACGATGCAGTTGGATTGAAGGGTGTTTGGAAACTTGTCATTATCAGTCTTAGTGAATGGTGTGGTAAGGGATTTTTTTCCTGCTACAAGGGGACCCCCTTTCCCCATTCCTTTTTACCATAATAGCTGATGTGTTTAGCAGACTCCTCCAAAGGGTAGACAAGTTGGACTTATTTAGAGGTTGGAGAGTAGGCAGGAATAACACGGTAGTGACACACTTACAGTTTGTGGATGATACAATCATTTTCTGTGAGAGTGGGGATCCTAGGAAAGCAAGGCACTTGAAGGAGGTGATAAAGTTGTTTGAATATATATCCAAATTGAAGATTAGTTTTGAGAAGAGTTGTGTGGTAGGGATAAACTTGGGGCAGGAGGAACTAAATGCAATAGTAGAGTCTCTAGGTTGTGCTATTGAGTGCTGGCCTTTGTAATACCTTGGGTTCCTTTAGGAGATAATTTGAAAGAAAGTAGGTTTTGGAACCTAGAAT